AGTTTGATGAAAAAACCCATAGAAAAACAGTTGATTTTCTCTCAAACTGATTTCCATGATTATGTTTTTAAAAATAATTTTCAATATACTATTTTGTTGAAAATGACAGTCAAAAAGGATGATATAAATAAACACAAAAATACATGGCTATATCAAGATATATAAAAGAAAAGAATTCTTTTATGAACAGCAAGGAAACGTTCTAGGCAAAACACTCGTTTTATTTACGGTTCATATAGCCTCCACAAGAACTCATTTACGAAACAACCTTTTAAATCAAATAAAAGACGCAGTTATTACCGAAGATCTTGTTCTCCTAAATCAAACAGTTATTAGATGTAATTTTTATCTGTGAATCAGGCTAGCCGCAGTTTTCACCAAACCAGAATTTGGCAATTACTACTGTGAGTTAACTGTGAGCGTAACTAGATAATAAAGAGATGATGTATTGCCAGACGACAGATATTTGGACTCTTAACCATTTCTTGCTATCGCCACAATCTCTTTATACTCTATAGTTGTTTTCTGATCAAAGAACGAAAATCAAACCGCAATGATATCGCTCATTAGGGGCAATAACCTGCTGTGACGCGCGTGTTCGATTAGATCCAGGCAGTTTCTTACTCATACGTTAATTTGCCTTTATAGCTTTTTAAATAAACGACGTTGCCTAGTGTTTTAAAACTTTGATTTGATTTGTAACAATTCCCCAATCACCTTAATCTGTCTTGACATCCCCATGCTTAGTGTTTGCATCTCAGGGCGTTCTCCGTGATAACTTGCAGCACGTGTTCCCGCCTCAGCTTTAAAAGTTTCGTAAAATAGCAGGGATCCGATGAATTTTAATACCTTTCTTTTCCGTATGTGCTCTATAAGTGCGGTTTTATTGTTTATCTGTAGATATCATTCAACCGTAGATTAAATAGCTGGCATAAGGTGCTCATCCAAACCCGATCACAAAAAACCAGTCATTGTGTATTAATTTATCTAGACAAGTGGTAGATTGCGAAATGTTGAGCTTCACCCAGTGAACGTTTTCAGTTGGATGGGATTTGTCTCAAGAAAAGACAGGTAGACGCTTTATCAGACAGATCTAACACAAGCAATGTAGATAATTTACATAAACGTTGCTCAGACAAAGTTAAAACAAAGTTTATCAGTATCATATGGTTTTATTTGACAACAGAAAACAATTTTGGTTAACAAAATGCACTCACCAATATTCTTGCGAGAGTTAGCTTTTTTTCTTGTAAATTCTCCTCTATTTTTTTTCTCTAGGATGATTTACGAGTCTGGTTGAACAGCTGTCATTCAGATCATAAAAATAAATAGCATCCAATAAGATACAGTTTATCTTGAAGAGTGATCTTGTTAATATTAACGAAGTGTACTATGCTGTCATTAATGCTACAAAATCCAGCATTTTACGATTATCAAGCTAGTGTATATCTGTCTGGCTGTAGTAATTAAGATATAACGCGTCAATGTCGTAATGACTTGGAGAGAAAAAAGTTTACTACATGCATTATAATCTTATCGTTATTTAATGACATAAGTTTGTAAATCACTTTTACCTCTGTGTACGAAATTTTTACCACTTGTATGTTATTTCAGGATTTCTTTTACATTTAACGTCTTTTCTGATGAAATAGAATGCCAAAACTTTCGACACATTTGCCTCACGATTGACATCTAAAAACCAGAATTTTCTTCCATGCAGTCAAAACATGTCTCTAAGCCAGAAATTTCGAAGACGTCTTCAATTAACTTTTTATCAATTTATTTTTGGTTGGAAAACATTATCTTTTTTTAAATAGCTTGAAGATTTACTCACATATTGAATAGTACGAAAATAGGTAAAAATTAAAACAATTCTGTTTTCATATATATATATTCACACTTGAAGGAAAAACATATAAACGCGTAAAATTGTATTATTTGAAGATATTCCCTGGAGAATCCAGGAAGGACTTAACCAATGGTCTTGTCTATTTTTAAGATTAAAATAAATGCATTAAAATATCAATCAGGGCACCTTCTAATACAACTCTAAGGACCACATCCACTATTTTAAACTTATTCCTCATCCTAACACCATATAATACAACCACAGCTTTAACATTAATTTACTCCTAAACAAGCATGCTACATAATAATTCATAAATTTATAATAAAAAAGGAGATTATTAACAACAATGTTTCAATATGTACTTAAGAAAATTAGATTTATTTAAAAATATTTAAATATTACAGATACATTTTAGAAATGAGCCTACTTTTATAGAATTTTCGAGCAATTTGAAAAATATAAAATGGATATATATAATACACTTTGGTCTAAGCATGACAAAAATAAATAGATGCAGTGTAAATAAATATACATACTTATTTCTCAATTATAAATTAAAAAATAAACAAGATGTGTTTGTGAAACAGTGATGCCTCCGTATGGCAACTTAAAGCGAAAGTTAAACTTTCTAAAATGCAAATCAAATATATTGGTACCCAAAGTAAGGTCTTATCTCAAAGAATATACCTGTGAAATATGAAAGCCCTAGAAGCAAACATTGAAAAGATATGGAAAAGTTTAAAAATGTTCAGTGAGTCAAACATCAAGGTCATAGTAAAATGGTCAAAATTAATGGTGTCCAAGGAAAGGCCTTCTCACTAGAAATATACATGTGAAATATGAAAGCCCTAGCATCAACCATTAACGTTATGGCCAAAAATATTGTTTTTCAAAAGTAGATCAAACTCCAAGGTCAAGGTCAAAAGGTCAAAGTTGTTGGTATCCAAGGTAAGGTCTTGTCACAAGGATTACATATGTGAAATATGAAAGCGCTCGCACCAACTGTTCAAAAGTAATGGCCAAGGTTAAAGTTTTCCAAAAGTATGTCAAACTCCAAGGTCAAGATCAAAGGGTCAAAGTTCTTGGTATCCAAAGGAAGGTCTTGTCACAAAGATTACATATGTGAAGTATGAAAGCCCTAGCGCCAACTGTTCAAAAGTTATGGCCAAGGTTAATGATGGGTAAAATTTTATAAAACTTGGTCAAAGTCCAAGGCCAAGGTGAAACGGTCAAATATGATGGTACCCAAAGAAAGTTCTTGTCACAAGGAATACACATGTGAAACATGAAAGCCATAGCTCCAACCAATCAAAAGTTATGGCCAAGGTGAAAGTTTTTGCAGACACACAGACAGACAGCTAGACAGACGGAAGGACAGGGCAAAAACTATATGCCCCCAAATCTTCGATTACGGGGGCATAATAAAAACTACTATTATTTTTGACGTACATGCATATTGAAGATGATTTTCGAAAGTTCATGATCTTACGAAGGTCATGATCGTATGACCTTATAGTCTTCACTCTTACGCTGTATATGTTTTAGGTATTGCATTAGTGCTTTCTGAATGAAAAATATCACAGCCCCATGATCTTTAGAACTGAAATACATTACTTATATATACATTCCAATTAACATTTATTTCACTCAAAACACAGAAATTGGCAAACTGTCTAAAATGTATGATTAATATTTTTATTTTAGCGTAAAATATTGCTGTCAATCTGTAATATCGGCATTTATCTTAATCGATTTATAATTTAGGAGGATGCCAATTTATAGAATTTTGTTACAAAGGAACATAAGAGAGAAAACATATCCTACATAAATACATGTCGAGGGACATGTTTTTTTTAAATATGCATAGAAATAGGATTGATTGATTTATTGTATGTTTTACGTCCCGTTCGAGAATCTTTCACTCATATAGAGACGTCACCATATACTGGTGAAGGGCTTCAAATTTAGACCTTTACTCGGCACTCAGGGCCATTGAGCAGTGATCGAGGGATCTTTATCGTGCCAACGCCTGCCGTGACACAGGGCGTCGGTTTTTAAGGTCTCATCCGAAGGATCCACAGCTTTCACTTCAAAGTGCCGAGCGCAAGGCGAAGGAACAGTTGCTACCTATTTTTTATCGACTTAGGTCAGTTGCGGCCGTGATTCAAACATACGACCTTCCGATCATGGAACGAGCGCTCTTCCAACTGAGAAACAGGATTGAAGAAAGAAAGATAACCGTAGAAGTTTCAAATAAAATATTCAGCTGTGTTGTCAAGCACTCTCAAATGAACATCAACGCATAGTCTTAATTCGAAGTTGATTTTTAAAAATAAAATATATTCCCACAACGTAATTAATGTCATTAAAATGATAACTTCAGTAATCATCTGTTTAATATTTGTGTTTTCTAATTGTTCTTTGTTAATGGTTATCATAAACTGTATGGAATTTAATAAAGTTTACAAATAAAGAAAAAAAGTTTTGGAGGAATAACAAAACATCCCTGAAAATTTTTAGACAAAATTATCTATACATATTTCATATAACACACAAACACACAAAGTGGAATACACACGTCAGATTGACAGTGAAATGGAGGAAGATAACGAACAGCTGTGTGGTCAATCGCATAATTCCTGTAGACAAAACAAATCGTAATCAGGTAAAACACGAACCCCTGGAAACCACAGAGGTGAGACAGGTGCCTCGGAGGAGTAAGCACCCCCTGTTTACCTTTTAGATTCCCGAGAATTCTCTGCTGTTCGGGTATACGGACAAATCCTTAGTCTGAATTGGTATAAAATCAATATTAATGGCTAATAATATGGTACATGCATGATACATGTAAGTCAATATACTACCCAAAGAAAGGTTGTATTTGCAAACAAAGTCATTATAACGACCAGAAAGTTTGTGAAAGGCTGACGTTAAATAAGATAGTTGAAAACCCTGCTAATATTAACTTGTTTGTCGGTAACCTACCTCTATTTACAAATAAGTCGTGCTCAGAATAATAATAATAGCATTTTGGCATTTCCAATGCACATTTTAGATATATTATTGAAAACTTGCTACTCAATTTTTTCACCATATTTTGTCTTATCAGGGCCCGATTTGCACCTTTCCCGGACAGAGAAAGGCAATTTTGCATACTTTTACAGAATGGCACAACAAGAACAGCACTTTTGGGGAAAATCTGGAGCATAAACTTTTCTCTCCATCCCATAGATCCAGTATCGAGAACGTGTATCTTTCCAAGTAAAGTGGACCTCCGTCACCGGAACAGCAAGCAAACGTTGTCTCTGTAAAATATTATGTAGGTTAATTAAGTTTGGTCACCTTCTGAATATAACTCTGGTCAATTAAGTGACTAAGTATAATTATAGAAAGATATGTTGATTTAATACATCTTTATCATATTGATTGTAATTCCGTTTTTTTTTTTTTTTTTTTGGTAATATTGATAACATATATTTTTTTTAATTATTCAAATATTTCAGAACCACGCCTGTTGATTTATTCTATGTTTTAATATGCATCATATTTACATGTTTTATCTATCATTCATATTCCTGGTTCTTACATCAATTAAGAAAGCCCTGGCTCATGCATGATACTCCCAAACGTTCTTAACCCTGCTGTACCTGTCTGTTTTTATTTAATCTCACCATTTACTATGAAAATTGAACAAACTTAATCTTCTGATATAAACTGAAAAAGTTTAATTATCACGGATACCTGTCTTTTTATTCTCTCATATGGAAAAGCATGTTTATGCTCGTTGATGATTCGTTTTGAATTGTTGTTGATTTCTTTTATCGGGTGGGTTGTTATTGGGAATACCTTCAATTAAAATTATTTATTTAATGATTTCTACTTCTTAAAACAGATTTGAAATGGCTGGATCATTGATTTGACAGATATTTGATGTAAAACAATATTTATGAGGTTTTTTTTTTAATTTTGAAATATTTGCTATTACCTGGTCTAAATCTTGCTCAAACACCACTTTGCCGCTTACATTTTTTACCAACTGATCTGGCATGTCAGATCGCTGAAAAATGTAATCCCTCACGTGATTTATGCTGCAAATATACCATCATTTATCTATATTTGTTGTCAACATGTGCAAAAGTCTTTCAATGTGTCTACATAGAGGTTAAAAATTATATTAACTTCTTACGTATTTTTTTTGTAATCAATGAGCATATTGGTATTTAAAAAAAAAAAAACAAAAATGTAATACATGTATATCACAATTACAGATCATGAAGGGGGAAAAATGATTTTAATGAATTTGCATATTAAAGACCATTGCCAATGACCTTTCATCAAATCTTTGCTTTGCTTCAGTGATAACTTTAAACTTTGATTTACCACATTTAACTATAGTAAGCTTTAGTTAACTAAAGAAAAGTATAGTTTACTATAGTAATTTTGTGAGGGATTTGGTTGTATAGAAATATGAAGATAACGAACAGTATTCAATCTCGAAAGTCCAATAAAACGATACAAATTTGGAGCAGAGCAAACATGGACCTCAAAATTTAGAGGTGGATCAGGTGCCGTGGAGAAGTGAGCATCCCCTGTCGACCGGTCAGGACTGTTTAGGAGAAAATCAATGTTCTATTTCAGTCATCAAAAAACAGGTGCTCATGCTCGTTGTCCTTTGGTAAATTTTATTTCAGATAAGGAAACATTTAATTCCCAATCGAACAATATTTCCTTGAACAAATTTAATATAATAAATTTTTATTTTATTTTATACTTTATAGACTCTTTGATGTCTATAAAGCAATTACTGTTTCTAAGGATACTCTTTAAATTCCCATAATGTAGCTTTGAAATCAACTGCTCGTCTTCATGAAGACTCTTTACTCTCAAATATCTACATTTTTTCATTCATTTCTACTGGTATATAAATCAGCAGATCCAATTATTCTTTGAAATTAGTCAAAATATTCCATATTTATAACACAATTTCAATCTCCTCACAATGCAAATATATTTGGATATGCCAAGATTATTTTACTCATTTAAGTACATGACGGATATTTGTATTATAAGAGTGTCATTTTAAAATGCCGATATGTTATAAAAGTATTATTCTTATGGTTTAAAAAAATCCGCTTTTGAGATTACTTTTTTCGATACTTAAGACAATATTTGATACGCTTACAATTTGACAGTAAGTTCAGTGTACGTCTTCATGTTTCTGCATCCATTACATTCAGTACATATCGCCCTACCACTACTGGAACACTTATTACACCTAGAATCAAAAATATAAAGATTAAATACATTGAATATACGTAATTGGGATCTTACTCCTCTGGGGAGCTCTAATAATAATCTACTCTGATTGTAAAAAAAGGAATGTTTAAAAAAATACATTCCTCTCTCTCTCTCTCTCTCTCACATATCACAGACAAACACACCCTCACACACACGTGTGGTTTTCAAATGATATCTATAGAATCTCGAAATGATCATCCTTACTTCAAGAATCCTGTATCTTTACACCATGGACAAGCATGATTGACATTACTTCCCAACAACATTTCAGATTCCCGATTACGTTGCCATTTACTACAGGAGCAGTCCTTTTGTCCGTTACCATGACACTCCGGACACTGGATGTAACCACGTCCTATACAATTGTTACATGGCTATAGAAAAAGACGATAGTTCTCCTTTCAAAATCATTGCTAAAATCAATACTCAAGATGACGTTTTTTTTTTTTTTTCCCCAAAAATAGTCATAATTGCTATACAAAAGTTTCTAAAACACATACGGTTGATTATTTTATTTTCAAACCCACGTATATATAAAAAAAAACAATTTACACAATATCGTTGACTTTAAATATTCTATTTTTTAATTTATGATTAGAGGACATTAAAAGTAATATTTCAGATACATAAATTCTTAAATAGTTTCCTTCAAAAAGAACTCACACGAATATACTCTGTGTGCGGAATTTTCATTTTCTTAGTGTGATTATGAAAGATTTTATCTGCATTACACAGTACATCCCAAGGCGAGGGCGCAGAGCCGTTTTCAGAGCCATCAACGCTTCCTCCGTGATGTGGCTTACGTTTGCATTCTGTTTTTCGTGATTCAGTAAAAGTTTCTAAAATATACTAAAATAAAAAGAATGAATAAATAAAAATATACTAAAATAAATAATAATGAACAAATAAAAAAAATATACTAAAATAATAAATAGTGAATAAATAAATAAAAATATACTAAATTAAAAAATAATGAATAACTAAATAAAAAGATACTAAAATAAAAAAATGAATAAATAAATAAAGATATACTAAAATAAGCAAATAAATAAATAAACAAATACTATGATATAAGTTGCTTATGTATTAATTTTACTGTTTTATTGTTTTTCATGATTATTTTTTATTTGACAGCTCTTATACATTTTACCAATGAAACTTACACACAGGTGTGTAAATAAACCCTTAACTACATACGTGATAAGCAGTTAAACCATTATTTCTGGTGATGGTCATTTCTTTGGCAGCATTTGAATCTAAACAACAGCTTTCAGCAGCATAATCGATCATAGCCTGCTTACAAACCGCCTGATCAAGGTTATCAATGCTGAAGAAAGAGGGAATACTTAAAATACATAATAAATGCCCTTTTCACCAATGTATACATTCAATTGGATTTCATTCATATGTGTACTTGATAGGGATATCTTCATGATTTTGTCTAAAAACCATCTGAAAAATACATTTGTAATGATTTTCTTTTGTTTATAAATTCTAAATCTTAAAAAAATTGCTCACTCTTTGAACTGCATGGGTTGAGGATATACTGTTTGTGGCTGCATTGGAGGCGGAGGAGGTATTAACGCCACTGAAATTATATTATATATTACATTATAATATTCTAATATGATATTATATTATAAAATTTTCATTTTTTAAACTGTTTCTCTTTGATAAATCTAAATATTTCCATTTCTATTTTTTTCTCTGTGATAACTCTTTGAAAGATAGTTGAGTTGATTTCTTGATCATTCTACCGGAATGCAAATTTCGCCAAGCAATATGTCAGGGGCTAAGGTGGCCTAATTATATGCATGTAAATCTACTGCGTCTGTCTTTGTGTCTGACGCTAAGGAGGCCTAATACGCATGTAAATCTCGTGCGGCTGTCTTTGTGTTTGACGTCAGTGGGCGGGGACTATTGAAATTAACATGGGAGGCCTCGTATAATTTCAATCTATTAGTCTACATCTTTAAAATATAAATTCACAATTTTCATTGAAGTATAAGGAACCACTGTCTAGTTAGTACAATATGCCAGGGACATCAACGATAGTTGGAACCGTGGGGCGAAGCCCGTTATGCAAATTATCCCACGTTTCCAACTATCGTTGATGCCCTGGCATATTCTACTAACTAGACAGTGATTCCTTAAATAGGTCAAGTGCCTTACATGCATGTCAAATATCATTGTGTCTGACGTCAGTGGGGCTATGATATTAACATGGAATGCTTTATGTATTTCAATTCTATTATAGACAGCATTTTTGATTTATATTTATATTTTTTATACACATAAATGTAAATATTATACAATTATGGACTCTTTCGGTGGTGAATATGGTTTGTAATTCACCAGAAAAATATCAATATTGACCGAGGCGAAGCCCAAATCGTGGACATCGGGGTTTTATCGAAAAATAATGCGCGCACTGAGCTGAAATATTCAGCAAATCTTTATTTATCATATTTAAGTACATCTTAATATTTTTGATAAATTATAGGCAAAACTGAGGATTTTATTATAATTTAATGTGCACAGGGTATGGCCCTACAGCGCACGACCAAAATTTTAGGGTTTTATCAGGGAATATGCGAGTGTTATTTCGGAATAAAAGTATTAAATAGATAAGATTGGGGTAAAAATTAACATGTTTTAAATCACCATATCTTATGTCGCAATTTGGAAAATTTCAAGGAATCAAATTTAATTTTTGACATTATTCCGAGCATTTGAAATAGGAAAGTGATAAACGTAACAAGAGAAAAATTTGATGACGTTACGGCGCACCGGAGAGTAGTTCATTTATATGAAGATTAAGTAATGACGTCTTAAGAGACTTTATATGATAACAGAAAATAACAAATTAAGTATACAAATATATCAGTTCATGTAATACCTTAGTTTTCAGGTGGATGGGCATTTTTTTTAAGCGGAAGCTCTTTGATCGAGTCCCCTCCAGGGTAGAGCAAAACATACAGACAGTAAGCCACTGGTAATAACGAAAGCCGCTATCACTGCAGACCGTCGAAAAAAAGATTGTCCATCAAGTTCGATGAAAGTGAGAGTACCTTCCATAACTTACTAAAACAAATCTTCAAAAGGTCCCATGTGTGTGCAGAATTGGTCCCTCGACTGTTCATTGGGGAATAAAGGGGAACTCGAGTGTGTACATCAGTGAAATTCCCAGAATTTAAATGGTTTTTTTTCCAAGCAAAGATTAAATGTGACGTTGCTTAAGACACATGACGTTATCATCCGTGCGCCGTAAGACGATACAACACATAACTTAAAATCCCATTTTTTTTTTTGTCGATTTGAACATATATCAACTTGAAATTTGCTATGTATATTGAGAAAAAGTGTACTAAGGAGTAGGGAAAATTTTAGAAAGCAATGTTGATTATTTTTTACTCCAGGGAACTTGTCCACAATTATACTGGACAACCCTCGTATATTATATTTTATGATTATATTTTTATGATTGAATAATTTCTAGCTCTCTGATCATGATTGGCTGATATCCAACATTGTAGAAAAAATATTACTTTAAGTTCACCTACACGTGACCTTCCAAGAGAACATAAGGATTTATTTTCTTTACATGGGCTAAAATAGATTGAGAACTTCTAAACTGAAACAATAACTTATAAAAAGTTATTTCAGCTTCGCCTGATTTCAACTCAGGTGAACATTTCATCATTATTGGGGTTGGGTGTTTGCCCACCCTGCGTTTTCAAAGCCCACCCTGCCTTTCCAAGAATAAATTTATACTATTAATTAAGTATGAAAATGTTCATTGAAAGGCGCGTTGAAACCACTCCCACTTTTTTTTTTAATCTTAGGCAATACCTATAGTCAAAACCCTCCAATTTTATTTCCCACCGTTCATGCCCAAGAAATAAGATTTTGGTACTTAATGAATTCTCCTTTATTTTATTTGGCTTGTTATACAGTTTTCAGCTAAGTTATTATGATTTTCCTTCTTGTCTCCCCAGCCTCCTCCCTTTGAAATGAATGCTTCATGCTTACATTCATTTTATATTTCCTACATAGCTCCGTAAAAAAGATTAAATAATTCCAGATTACTTTATTCTTTTCTCACTGCATTTAGTAAAGATTTCAACAAATAAAGATATAATGGTTTGTTTAACGAGTTTGTGTTATTTAATCATTACATGTAAATCATATCTTAAAACAATTATTCTTTTTTAAGGCAATACGATGAATTAGCCTACGGAGGAGTACAATATTCTAGAAGTACAATTATAGTTATCTCGCTCTTTGGGCAAGTTGAATATTGTAATCCTCCGCTAAAATTATCATACTTACCTCAAAACCAGAAATAGTTGTGTTATTATATATATAATATACTATAAATATGATATATTATACAATATTATACAATATTGATAATACAATAATATAATTATATATATATATATATATATATATATATATATATATATATATATATATATATATATATATATATATATATATATATATATATATATATATATATATATATATATATATATATATATATATATATATATATATATATATATATATATATATATATATATATATATATATAATTATATTATTGTATTATCAATATATATATATATATATATATATATATATATATATATATATATATATATATATATATATATATATATATATATATATATATATATATATATATATATATATATATATATATATATATATATATATATATATATATATATATATAAGCTTAAGACTTACTTTTGTATAATAAAAATTGAGCTGAGGTTTGGAGACGAATCAAAGACTGTTAATCTCCCCTCTGTTAATGCTCAACATATATGCATGCATATATATATATAAATATGTTAATATATTAACTGATTACCCTGATACTTAATCAATGCAAGGGTCGAAGCAAAGTAAAAATAGTACTCTTTGATAAGCATTGAAGTTCTAAGGAACTTCCTTTTAAATAAAGAACTTTTTTCCTGCCAATAAAATGAACGTTTTCAATGATTACTATTTTATCAGATGTAAAGGTCAATGTTTTATATAAAACAAGGATCTTTGACGAATCTAAAGAATTATAAGGAACTTCCTTGTCAATAAAACAACTTCTGCATGCAAGTTTGAAGTACTACTTTATGACACTAATAGTCTTAAAGTTTTCATCATTGCAAAAAGCTGATATTTTTATGACGTCGACTTTAACTCTACATGGTAAATATGTTACTAATCATATAAATGTACTACAGTATAATTGTTTAATTGTCAGAAGTTTCGGTATTTTCGTATTACGCCGCGTAAAAAATCATATGTTCTTATCTCTCATACGTTTTTATTTCTAGTAAGTCGCCCGTGTGGCGCAGTGGTTGGATTGTTTTCTCTAGAGTCGCGGAATAAGGAGTTGTTCCTTACGTCGCGGGTTCGAACTCCTTAACGGGACTTGGGGACTGGTTTATTCAGATGAGAACATATAAACTTTGGTTCTCTGTCGTAGTAGGTGCTGGGACGAAAAAGAACCCTCACTGCTCAAGCCCCGAGTGTCGATTATTGGTCAAAATTTACAGTCCTCCATCAGCAAGTTGTAGCGTCCCCATATGAGTGAATAATTTTCGAGAGGGACGTTAATCAACAATCAAACAAACAGAATATTCCATCCAAATGATCAATACATAGCCAACCTGGTGAATGTAAAAGGTTGGCAGGGGATGTTTACTTCTACTAGGCACTTGATCCAACCTCTGAAATTTCCAGGGGTCCACGCTTTTTGTCTATTTACAGATTTTTATTGTTTGCAGTCTTTTTGTTTCCTTTTTTGTTTGTTTGTTTGTTTTTGTTTTGTTTTTTTTACCCCCTTTCTAGAATTACCCCCTTTTGTTGTTTTCTGAGATCCTCCATTGTTCGTTATTTTCAGCTCTTTTATTATGGAAGAAAACTTGAAAACATGAATAAGTCTTTAAATATTCAATAACAACAATTTTGATCGTAATACATGTACAGGCCTCACCGTATTGCCTCCATCCCTGAAGATCATTATGAGAACAAACTTCAATTTGCACTAATTGATGATATTAAATTTTGCATATAAATAAGAATTATCCTGATTCTATTGTTATTGAGAGAAAAAAATGTCGTCTATTATTGCCCAAACCTGCCTTTGAGTTGTGACCAGTTTTGAACAATCTTGAATCTGCAATGCATGAAGATACTTGCACATTGAGCTGACCTATCTTTACCATGCTATTCTTGAGCAGAATTTTTCTGTTTCCCTCGTCCAGAAATGCACTTAATAAAACTGGTGAAAATTTGATCAGTCGTTTATAATTATGAGAAAAAAAACAAACGACGCACATCACTAAACGCAAAGTTCATGTTGGCGGACAGAGACAGCAGCAAATCACCTAAGTAACCAAAGTAACCTAAGGGAAAAATTTGCAGCCCTCCACCGGTAAATGGTAGAGTCTCAATATGAGTGAAAAATATTCGAAGGGACATTAAACAAATTAAAAACAAACAAACATATTTCTAGTAGGATATAAGGCTTCTTAAAAGACTTTCGAGGAATGCTTTATTTGTTTATATAATATTAAATTTAAAATCTATTTAATTTTGAAAACTTCCCAGCAGCACAACACATTTTCTTTAAGGAATAATATTTTTTGTGGTGTGCAAAACGATGTTGTATCGATCAACATAAGAGAAACCTAAAACATCCGTACCATGCACGTACTTATAAACAAGTACATGGAGCTTTGCTGGTTATGCAAGTGCATGTTTGCAGTCGATGCACGTTGAAAGTTAATGTTAAAGTGCTCATCATGATTAACTTCAGTTTACATTCATGCACATAAAAAAACCTAACAATAACTAAAGAGGATTGGGAAAAATAGTATATATTTTCCTTGCATGCTTAATTTTGAATGCACTAATATCTGCATACTGCAAAAACAAATTTCTAGAATTTATAACTATATACAATGTATAACTACAAGCAATATCGGAATTTTTTACAGATATTTATTCATAAAAAACAAGACATAACAGTAAATATTATAACAAAAGGACAACAGTCTTCAACGAAACAAAATAACAGAATAAATTAGCCACAATGTTGATAATATTTTTAAAACTTAAACCTTATCAGTTTGTGGTAAAAATGCATAACAAAATGGGTCATTCCTAAAATTAATGAACGTGTAACTGTGTGGCATTCTCGCGTGCAGCACAAGAAAATAATGATACAAACAAAAGAGTGGAAATATAATCAAATTAATATACAAAAAATCTGATTCGTTTATTTTCTTTTATTGTTTTTTATAGGTTTGGAATATTCAATGCATCAATTGTTTAGGTAGTAACATAAATTGTTTCGTAATTGGTATGATGTCCTGGTACTCTTTGAGTTATTTTAGGTTTACAAATGAAGTTATTTTATGACAACTTCATACAATTGGTGATATATCGAAATACTGAAACACTATGTTCTTAACTATTAATATCACTACTTCGAACAACGAACTACTTCGCAGATATTAACTGTGAAACATAAAAGTCTTGCTGAGTGCGCATGTGCGCGTTTTACAAGATATTACATCCCCAGCATCCCTTTTGAGGGTACTCAGGGGCGTAGACTTCTCTTTCTAGTCCATAAATCCAGTAGCATCCTTGTTCGTTCTCCCACGTATAATGGACCTCTGTCACAGGAACAGCTCTCAACTGTTGTCTCTGTAAAATAAAATATTTGAAGATTTTTAGTAACTTAGTGACGTGAATTTCATTAAAAGAGTTGACTAAGGCCTATACCTGGACTTGTAAAAATTTGGAAAATCTGGAGTATTTAGTTTTACTGGACATTCTTAAATATGAATAGAAGACTCACAATGACTACATTTTAGTAAACAATGAAAAATGAAGAAAAAAATCGAATTAGCTTGTGCAAAACATATGATTATGACGTTTTGAATTGAATCTTTTGTTTTTCAATATAAGGAAAATATATACATTGTATTTAGAATATACTTTAAAACTTATTATAAGCTAACTTTAAGAATATCTATATTTGAGTATTTCAAATGTAACAAACTTAATTATTTAGATCTGTTATTGGCTTGATTGCATACTTATTTTGAATGTTTTTTTGTGCTATATTTAAATTCGAATTCATAAACGAATGTGCTCTACCATACGTTTACCGGAGCATAACGTATTTGAATAATTTCAAATTGGCTATTCTATGATGTATTCTTAAAATAAGATGTGTACTCTATTGCTTTAGAAAAAAAAAAAACAGCGCTAGTGCCGTTTTGTTAATAGTTAATCAATGTCGAACGCGGAATTTCCGCACATTTTACTGGGTGTTTTCCATGAAATCTACTAGATAAAAGTGCCCATCAGACAACTTTTCCTTGCATTATTCGATACATTACACACTTTTTTCCCAGTCTAACTGATAATCTTTATGTCTTCTTAGCAAAGAATATTATTCTGGAGACCTGAAAAAGGGTTACATTTTTGTTCTCCTCACTCCAGGTTTTCCAGAAAGAATTCAATTTGACAAACCTGCAGACTTGTATCTTGGCAAGGTCATTTTCAAATAAGATATCCTTTATTGTTCTTCAGTGTTATGTCATAGTGATTTGAAGAATATTGTAAAATGCCGCCGATATATGGCCGAAGTACTGCCGACTAAACGTTAATCAATAAACAATCAAAAAATCATGTAAAAAAGGGGTACCTGCTTTAGAATGTTTCCATTTGGGAAGGCTTCTTTATGCTCGTTAACGATTATGGTGGAAATATTGTTGACTTCGTTGACTGGATATGATGTTATTGGGGATACCTATGATTGAAATGCTAAAATTTTCATAATATTCCAATATAGTTACAGAATAAGTGTTTTTTGTTTATGAGAAATTAATTTACTAGAACATTTTCTCACAAATTAAATGAGGAGGAGATATACGTTTTTCCTGTAAACTTTATGCAATTATTATATTGAACCTCCTCCAAAAAACAAAGAGACAGTTATTGCTTTTATTTTGATTTAAAAACTTAAAAGAAAATTCCGATAACTAGGTATTCAATGTGTTTTAGAAAATGAAACAAAAATGATTTCTTTTAAATTTTAAGTGAAATTTATATAAAAAGGAAAAATACAAGGTCATCTATATTAAAAGACTGTGACCTTAGTTCTGCAAAATGTTTTGAAAATTTTATCAACTTTTATCGATTTTGAAAATATCTGAAACAACTGACGCAATATATTATAATAAATGTACATTACTTCTTCTTTCTAAAGTAGATAATTGTTATTAATTGTGATGTCAGAGAAATTGACATTAGTCAACATTACATTGTATGCCACTTTAGTAAGTTGTACTGAATTTCTTTTCTTAATGATTTAATGCTCTTTACAAATATATTTTCTTTGATAAGTCTATTTCATATCCCCGTGAACTTACTTAAAAAATTAAAGACTTCTATAGGTTCGGCAAATTCTCTTTTTTCAGACCAAAGGAGGTTTAAAATTTTCATTTTTACCTGATTTAGAACTTGTTGGAACTCCATGTTTCCGTTTACTTTTTTCAATAGGTGACGTGGCATATCCGAATAGTCTAGTATGTGCCTGGAAACATGATTTTTACTACAAGGAATAGAAAAGATACATTATACCATTTTGCGAAAGAAAGAAACAAGAGGAAGTTCAAAGATTCCACAATTTATTTTCTTTTGAATGAATAGGCCTATTCTGATGGCTGAAAAAATATTACACTTTAAAGCAACCTTGGTTAGCATTTTTAATCTCCAAACTCTCTGTACAACTTTTTACGAACTTAATCACAAAAAATCGATGAAGTAACAATTGATTAAATATATAAAAATCACTTTTACTATGATTTTCCGATTTAATATCAATTCATACATGGAAACAATAAATGAATTTATAACAGCATATACTTACAATAGGATAGTCATCTCTGTATATGTTTTTATTTCTTTGTAACCCTCACATTCAGTACAGACTTTTCTCCCAGTGCCCAAACATAGTTCACATCTGAAATGTACAAATTAATGCCCATGAGACAGAAATTGACCTACGTTTGTATGAAATTGAATTGAAATGAGAGAGAGAGAGAGAGAGGGAGAGGGATGTTTAAGAAGAAGAATTCTGAACAATACCTTCCTGTTTTATAACCCCTACACCATCCACATATATCATCATAGGTCCGACCCACTAAAAAGTCAGAAGCTTTCATATAACCCGTCCCTGCACAAAAGAAGCACATCTTTGTTCCACCACCGCCACATTCCGAACAGCTGAAATAACCTCTTGATAAGCAACTCTGGCATGGCTGTAACCAAAAAAAGTTTTCCTTCTAACATTGTAAATTGCTTTCCCAAAACCTCAATGAATGTGTTGTTACTTAATAAATATCGAATGTAAAAAGAAAACATTACCTGTACTTTTGCTGAGTGAGGCACTTCTATAGTTCTTGTATGGTTTTCAAACATGCTGTTTTCTCTATAGTATATATCACAGGATGGGGTCGAGGAGCCATTCACAAGACCACCTTTGTGCGGCACGCGCTTTATTTTCGTTTTCCTATCCTCAGTAAAAGTTTCTAAGCTATACTATAAAATCAAAATAGCCATCACAAAAAAAAAAAAAAAAAAAAAAAAAAAAAAAAAAAAAACTATTTTCAGGGTATACAAATATATCTAAATTAATAAAAACAGAGAAAATAGATAAACATTACACACATGGTAGGCTGTATGACCACTATGATGAGTAATGGTCATCTCTTTGGCTGGTTTGGAACTATAGAAACATTTTTCGGACACGAAATCAAGCAAAGCTTGTCTGCAGTCCTCCTCAGTCAGATTAGCAATGCTAAGAAAGGAAATGAAATATAGAAAGAATTCATGCAAAAATTGCTTAATGCATTTAAAACTAATTTTCAATGAAACGTTTGCATATATAATCATCTCTTTTAATTTGACTCAAAAATAAAAAGAGGTTTAATTTAAATATATTCACATATATGTAAAACTTTTATAATTTATTTAATCATAAAGAATTCTTAGAAAAGAACATAATGTACTCTGTAGACTCTGTTGGAGGAGGATCTTCCGGTTGTGGTGTAAGTGGACGTGAAGGAGGCATTACTTCTACTGAAAATGATACAGAGTTATCATGTTAAAAGATATTTATCGAAGAGCAACCATACTCAAAAGTCCAATAAAACAATACAGCTATTAAGCGGAGCAAAAACGGATTTCTGAGGTGAGATCAGGTGCAATGGAGGAGTAAGCATCGAAGCATCCCTAATCAACAAAAGAATTAAAAGTGTTGCTGATCAAACCTTAATTTTTAATTTTTCTGTTAAACAGATAACTATTATGGCACATTGGCCATATGACTTTAAAAACACATCTATCATATTTTATATTCTTCAGTTCTTACATTCGACTTTTTTTTATGTAAAATGGAAGCATTGCTTGTATATTCACTTAACTGTCCCAAACTTTACTTCTCTGAAATTGAGTTTTAGAAATACAACCTCAAAACCTCAAAATTCTATATATATAAAAAAAAGCAATGATAACGGAGATTTCCATAGGTAAATCAAACAATCAAAGTACATTTGTATCCACAAAAGTAAAATATAGTTAACTATAGTTTTTTGTCCTTGTTAGGGTTATATCAATGGAATATCGATCAAAGAATTATTCTACTTTTCCTTTGGCTTCGAATTCTGAACAAGAGAATTTTGTCCGGTTATCGTCTCTCCCTTTGTTCCGAAATTAATAAATGGTCTTCTAACCAGTGTAAAACAGTTTTTACTACTAATTATCAAGCTGAATTGATTCTATCAGAGTGAGTCATCTTTACTGGAAAGGTTTTTTGTTTTTGATTAATCTAAATCAGAATTTCATCGACATTTTTGGACACGTCATCTGTATGACTTTACCGACGTCTTGTACAATGTAAGTTTAGTTAGAAATATTATTGGATATTCTATTATTGAGCACAGCATCTTATTTGTACCATCAACATGACTGTAGGTTTAAACAATGACATTACTAAGTGTTCTATTTTTAATTTCAAATACATTTTAATTATATAAAAAAATAGTTCCAAGCATGAAATAACACTTAGCTTCATGTGTACGGGTACGATAGAAGTTTATTACTATTGATATTATAAACTTTTTAGAAATATTAGTACATTCGTTTCAGTTACTTGTTCAATAAATATTATTGCATTCAAAAGAATACATATATCTTTGCATTTTCTCAAGACAAAAATAAGGAAAAACCTTTTCAAACCTCGATTTTTAAAACGACGATCAGGTGATTAACAATATTCTCTTTTTATCAGTAGAGTCCATTCTATACATCATTGATTATCAAAATGACTACTTCGGAAATATGGTCAAATTCAAAACGAAAGTACGTGCCTCCATCACATAAGATTGTCCATATTTCATTGCCAATACACGACAAAATTAACATTTAAAAACATGGATGATTCTTATGGTTGATATGTGACAGGTCATTGATTTTCTATGGGTAATCAGCCGTTGAAATCTATATGGGTACTGCACTCAGTAAACCGTTTAATTGTTTTGCAATATGTACTGGTAGGCTCAAAAGGCTCTACACAAGGCCATTTGATCTTTGTGTAGAATCGGATAATACAATGAATTCTTGCACATACACTGCACACCACCTATGACAGAATAGAAATTAGAGGTCCAAGGGCCACAACGCTCAGCGCAGTGCTGTTTTTCATCGTAGATTTTTTTCTCCGGTATAGTCCATAAAAAACTTTGATCACATATTCTGACCGCACCCTACCCTTAGGATTGATGATTTGGAAAAAAATTAATCTTAAGTGCCTGAGGATACTTCCATATCAATATGAATTATAATGGCTTTGCTGTTCTTGAGAAGGAGAATTTTTCTCTTTTTCCCCATATATTCCTATGTAAAGTAAAAATCGCCCATTGTGGCCCCACCCTATCCCTTGAGTTCTAATTTGAACAAACTTCAATCTTCGCTTTCTAATGGAGCTTTCTCATAACTTTATTCTATTCTGGCCAAGTGGTTCTTCAGAATTTCTTTTCTTTTTTAATTTGCCACCAATTTTTCTTGAATTCTTAATTAACACCCCTTGAAAGGGTCTGGCCCTTCAGCGGAACAAACTTAAATTCCCTTTTCCCAATACTCTGTGGTTCCTTTGGTTGAGATTGGCCAACTGGCTCTTGACAAAAACAATCGAAATGTGCAAAATTTACAGACAACACGCAACACATGATAGACAGACAAACAGACGCCGGACACTTTTTCGATCAGAAAGCTGACTTGAGCTTTCAACTCAGGTGAACTAAAAATGGGATAAATAAGGAGAGACGTTTCAGGTTAATTGTTTTCCAAAAAAATTGTATATCAATGGTATTTTCGTTCGAATCCAATACATAACAGAGGAATCGTTATGGCTACCAAAAATTAAAGCTTGTCGTGATTTTGTGAGCTAGTTTTGAATCGGTAATTAAGATACAAATGGTAAATGCAAGTAATGTGAGTAGGGCAACCAGAAGTTAGAAACCTATTCGCTATTCACTATTCGAATAGCAAGCTGTAAGATGTTGGCAGCTCAACAACAAAATAAAACAACATTCATATAAATTTATTTCTGATTTCAGATGTCTAGACAATTTTAGGCGACAAAAATATCATTGTGAATGAATATATAAATTTATTAATTACAAAGTAATTAGCTATAAGTGAGGCATCTTCAAAAAAATAGGTCTACTTCTAGAAAGGCCTTATAGAAAGGCTTTGCAAACAATTTGAAACTCGTGTAAAAAAATATATGTGAATATTCTAATTTGATTTTTACAAGATAAATAAATAATAATAATAAAAAACTAGTAACCAAATTAAATTAAACATTTATACCTCAAAAAAATATTTTGATTTATGAAACATCCTGTGTTTTTTTTCACTGTCATCAGCTTCTGATAAAATTCATAAATGATTTTTTTTAAATCAGTAGCTAAATTGATCACATGAAACTTTCAATCTTTTTACTCAGTCATGAATAATAACATAATTTTTCTTTTTTTTAAAAAAATGATGTTTAGTGACAATGTTAAAAGGACGTATCTTAAAGAGATTTTTTAAAGAAATTCATATTAGATTTCAGAAATGTATTTTATTCTTTGAAGTTTCGTGAAAAATAAAACAGAGAGCATGAAAAATGTCAAGTTTGAAACTTAAATACAAAACTTATATTTACATCCCAATGGTTAATTAATTCATTCCATCCCCCCCCCCCAAAAAAAATACATCAAATAACAGTTTAGGAGTGTCCCCATTTAAGCTTAAAGCAGTGCCCTCAGACTGCAATACCTATATAGCACCTATGACTTCTACATTAATTTACATTTTGAAGATGTTCATGTAGAATTCTCATCTTATGCTAATGTAAACAAAAGGAATAACGATTGTTTTAGTTATGAAATACTTAATGACAACAAAATATATATTTTTCGTATCCAATATTTGCGACTTTTGTAATCTGTCAAGAGCAATGAAGAAAATTTAATTTACCATAAATAAATCATTGATAATTATAAACAGGTGATTTTTTTTCTTTGGAGGATCTGTGAGATTTTACAGAGTCTTGATTTGATTTTGTTTGTTTATACATATCAATGAGATTGTATAAAGACGATAATTGTCCAAATTTTATACGTAATAATTCACGTAATCCTTAAAAACTGTGAAGTGAACATACACACATAGATGTGTGGCGTCTTCCTTTTTCCTTTCTATATTTGCTCGAAGAGTAAGTAATATTATGATTAAAAAAGAAAATAATCTTCAGTAATAATTTGTTCAAATGATTTTTTATTCAACATATTATCATTAACTGTAATTCATTCTATAAACATAACAAATTACCTTTTCAATGTCAATAACATATAATAACGATATTATGAATGGTCTCAAAAGACGAAAAATAGATTTTTTTAAAAGAAATTTAAGACATCAAATTTTCCTCAAACATTTAGCAATTTTTTAATCTATCATTACGCTAACCTTCAATTCTTTTCATTTTCCTGAGATTTAAATTAAAAAAAAAAATACCCAAATGTAAATAAATCACTCATGGACATGGTTTTGCCAAAGTATATGAATTTGATTCTAAGATTGTTGCTATTTTATAGTAAAATGCAATACATTAAGCAACAATTCTTTGCTCTCTCTCTCTCTCTCTCTCTCTCTCTCTCTCTCTCTCTGTGTGTGTGTGTGTGTGTTCAACGTATAATTGACCAAAAAAGACAATAAAATGAAAATAAAATACACACGTCAGAGGTACTACTCAAATACATGTATTTATATAGTTAATAACTTAGCATAACTTATTTTTAACGGCATTACAAATTATTAGGGCCTTGTTTGTACAGAGGGTACGAAGCAGGAAATTTTCCGTGCTTTCATAAAATAACACAACCACAATAGCATTGTTTGGGGAAATCGGGAGCGTACACTTTTTGTTCCATCCCATAGATCCAGTAACAAGAACGCGTATCTTTCCAAGTAAAGTGGACCTCAGTGACAGGAATCGCGAGCAAACGTTGTCTCTGTAAAACATAATAGATACATTAATTTTAGGCAATGTTTTGATCTCAATCTAGTCAATTGAGTCACTTTCCAACTTATAAAAATATCTGTTGATTCATAACATCGTCACTATGTTGAGTGTTAATCTGTTTGATTACAAAAGTTTAAAAAGTCTACAAATACCCACATATTTTAACCCGCCACCCGCTGATATTCTTTTGTTTTCCTCGCACGTTTTAGAGAAGTTCTGTTGAAAGTGTTTTTTTTTTTTTTTTTTTTTTTTTTTTTTTTTTTGGGGTTTATGACATCCTGTCCTTCTCCATTGTTTAAATACTATCAGTTTATCTCAACTAAAAATTCAAACGAAGCGTGAGGAATAATAAAGAGACAGTTGAAGAAATTGAGCATTGTGTGCAGGGTTGAAATGATTCCCATCAATGCTCGTTGGGAACTGCATATATATGCATTCTAAAAACACTTCGTTCTCTTTTTTCCTTCTCAAATTTCTAACCGAATTTATACAAATGTCAATTCAAAGAATAAAGAAACTCTAACTGTAGAAATGGCAAATTAGATAACTTATTCACATATTAGGCTCTGGAATATTTTTTGGTTTTTATTGTTTAACGTCCCTCTCAAGAATTTTTCACTCATATTGACACCACCACTTGCTGCAAATTTTGACCTATGCTCGGCACTCAGGGCCATTGAGCAGTGAGGGATCTTTTTCGTGCCTGCACCTACTGCGACACGGGACCTATATACGGTCTCATCCGAAGGACCGGTCTCCACGTCCCACAGATTCGAACCCGCGACGTAAGGATCAACTCTTTACTCCGCGACTCTAGAGCGAACGCTCTAACCACTGCGCCACGCGGGCGACCTGGAAGATTTAAGGCTATCTTGAATATAAATATTGACTCATCATGTATTTTACATACGTTATTTTTATTTATTTCAATATACGTGCCTTATTTTATTATTTTTTTTTAAACTGATACATGTTTTAAGGAGCTCTTTTAAGTAGTCATGGTTTTGTGTTCTTATTTTTTTTTAAATATACATCATGATAATGTGCATATTATTTATCATTCAGTAATATCTATGGTATTACGTGATTGTACACCACTCAAAACCACTATATGTCCCTGATATATTCATCTATTGAGTTCATTTCTAATTTTACTTCATCGCTCCCTTACTGTGAATAATAGACCTATTTAATTTCTGAATGCATGTTTTTTTTTTTCTTCATTTTGCCAATATTTTAAACTTTTGTTGCCTGTACACATCAAATAAACTCAAAAGAAGACTGGATTATCATTATTATAAACATTAAGTTTATTATAATTACATACAAGATAATATTGCAAGTTCATCTATAATAATATCAAATGCAAAAAAATTTATGTATTATAATAAGTGCTTTTGAGCACATCTAATATTTTATACAATTTAATATTGCTCATATAAAGCTCCACGTTTACATTTTTTTAACTCAATAGAACCCTCTGTCATTTGCATAATGTTAGCGTTTGCCATATTTAACATATGGGCCCAATGGACCAGGTGTTTAAGTGTAAGTATTTGTAAGCTTATATATATATATATATATATATATATATATATATATATATATATATATATATATATATATATATATATATATATATATATATATATATATATATATATATATATATATAATTTACTCACTCACTGCTATTATGAAGCATAAATGTTTCGAATACCTGTCTAAATATTCTTTCAGTTGGGAAAGCATTTTTATGCTCGTTGACGATTCTGATTGAATTATTGTTAATCTCGGGTATCGGGTATGCCGTTAATGGGTATACCTTCAATTAAAATTATCCATCAAGGAATAAGCATATACTCTCAAAACATGCATTTTGACATGGATTAAATTAAATCTGACGGATAGTACATGTAAAAAAAAAAATACTTCTTTTTTATTCTAAAATTTTACCTGGTCTAAGTCTTCCTCAAACATCAACATGCCGCTTACATTTTTCACCAAGTCATCTGGCAGGGCAGACTGTTGGAAAACGTAATCACTCAAGTGATTTGTGCTGCAAAATAATACCACCATTCTTCTATAGTTGTTATAGGCTGTAATCTTAAACAAAAACTTATCAATGGTGTCTACCTAGATGTTTAAATATAATTTTGACTTATATATTGTATTTTCCAAAATGTAAAGTACTGTGAAATCATCGAGGTTATATCTTCGTGGTATGAAGAGATCCTTGAATTTATGTCCTCCACAAACTGTTCAAATCAAATGCTTAAGAAAGCTGCATTGTTTTAGTCGCAAAATCAAATCCCCTTGAACCAATAGTTTTTCCTCAAATTTGAAAATTTTTATTCCTCTCGAAAATATGTGATTTTACTGTAAACGCAATTACTGATCATAAAGCATAAAAAAAAAAAACAAAAAAAACAAAAAAAACAAAAACAAAAAAAAACTTATGATTTTGTTAAAGACATTGAATACCACTGTCAATTTATTTGTCTTCACAATTAATGATACTTAAATCCATATCAAAATGTAGAAGCATTTTTCATTTGGAAAGATTTAACTCTCCATTGTTTAACATAAAGAATCAACTGCAAATGTTAACATTTTCTTTTTACTTTACATTTTTTTCTAAAGAACACTTAAGTACTGTGATGCATTTTCACAGAACAACAGACAAAGCTTTAGAATGTATTGGAACATATTTTCTCTTACACTGTGAATCTCACATAAATTTTATTCAGTATCATTAATTTCAATAAATTAATTTAATTAATAAATTAATGTTCCAATTTTTTTCTGCTTGCTCCTGTTTTCTTTAACCCGCCGAAGTGCAATTTCAGGTTCACTAGTCATTTCTGTGATGCTCTTGTCAATTCTAGAATCGAATTTCAAATTTCGTAACAGTCTTTAGAAAGTTTTCAATATCTTGATTTTGTTTGCAAAAATTATGAGCTAGAATATGAAAAAGTACCTTTTTTGTACACAACCAAAATAGATTTTTGAATTGTTTTAAATTATTTTGAATAAATTCTATCAATAAGTAAGACAAGATAAATGGCTAAAACAGGCTGTGACTGCTGAATAGTCCCAGTCACTTTTATGAATAAAAATATTGTATAGATGAAATTGGACATCACTGAGGTTTTCAACTGAATCATTTTCAGTAAGGAACTAATTGTAAGAAATATAATTTGTTAATTCTTATTCATTTGCTCTCTCACTTGACACTGGATAAGATAATTTTTTTTCAAAGAAAGGAACATTTTTTAAACATTGATTTATATTTTAAGCAATCGTACATTGAAAAAAAAATGTTTGCTTCTAATACTCTTAAAAAAAAACCAAGAGAACTATGTAGAAGCAAGTCAAGAAACATTTCCAGTCGCCGTCCATTCTGAAAACAATACCCAATCACGTTTCAGGAAGAAAAAAGCTTTTAAATCTGCATTCTGTGAGGCTAGAATTTAATTTGGTTAAATGGCAACCAATTTGTCCTTTTTCTCACAAGGTGGACATTTTATCTGCCTTTTGTCTTACCAAAGTACGGGTGTCCCAAAGAAAAAAAAATCCCAATGACCTGCCTAAATAGTACAGCAGTGAATTAACTGTCAGTTTTCGGTAAGTCACAAATTTATAGTGTCCTTGAGTTAAAAACATATGGTTAAATGCACACTTTATAAAAATTAAAGCAATCGGTAAATTAAATAAATGTTTTGTTTTTCTTTCAAATCAGACTGATAATAATTAGAGCGAATACGTAATTCATGTTATTTATGTAGAATATGGATTTATTTTAGCTATCAGGAAACAATGCTTATTAATAAGTTTTTCAAGACACTGAAACACATTTATTCTGTAATCGACCTATATGTATTTCGGTACTTTAGACAATATCTTATACGCTTACAATTTGACCGTTAGCTCGATGTATGTCTTCACTTTTCTGCATCCTTTGCATTCTGTACACGATTCTCTACCATGACCGGAACATTTATCGCATCTAGAATCAAAAAGAAAAGACTGCTTGCGTTGGGAATAGGAAATATAGAGCTCAATCATTTGAAGTGGTCTTACTTTACACAAGTATGATCTGAATTCCTAACACATTCCAGATTGTTTATACCCCCCTCTCTCTGATGGTTATCAAATGCTATCTTTATGAATTTCGAAATTATTATCCGTACTTTAAGAACCCATCTTCACACCATGGACAGGTATGATTGATATTGGTTCCCAACAGCCTGTCGGATTCCCGATTATGTCGCCACATACTACAGGTACAGTTCTTCTGTCCGGAACCATGACACTCCGAACACGGGATATCACCAAAAGCCATACAACCATTACATGGCTATAGCAGAAGAAAGCAATATATTTAGTATCTCTTAATTCAATATGCATTCATAATGTATCCATAATTGCAGGATTTTCATTTCCTTCAATGCCAGGAGAACTTACCTGAACAGATTCTGTGTGTGGAACTTTTATTTTCTTGATGTGATTATGGAACATTTTATCTGCATCACAAAATACATCCCACGGCGAGGGCAAAGAGCTGTTCTCCGGTCCATCAACGCGACCTCCAGGATACGGTTTACTCTTACATTCTGTTTTTCGTGTTTCAGTAAAAGTTTCTAAAATATACTGATATTAAGCTGTTACTGTATCACCAACTATTTGTTACATTCACGGATATTATTACAGTATTCCTTACATACATATTAGGAAAAAGAAGAACTGCAACATGTACATTCATGAAAAGCAGTTAAACTATTTTGGTGGATGATGTCCATTTCTTTGGCTGCATTTGGGTTATAGCAACAGCTTTCAGCAGCATGTTCTAGCAGAGCCTGCCTGCAAGCTGCCTCATCAAGGTCATCAATGCTATACAAAGGGAAATGCTTCGAAATACGTAACTTATGCTTTTTTCGCAAATTAAACTATTTATATATATATATATATAGCCAGTAAAATATGTTGATTTTTATTTGTAATATTTACTAAACACCTATATTCTTAATGATTTTAACTTAATAGCACACAAACAAATACATGTGCAATAAATATTTTAAAGAATCTGAATATACTCACACTTTGAAGTTCATGAGTTCAGGATCTACGGTTTGTGGATGCGGAGAATATAGAGGAGATGTCAAAGCCACTGAAAAACATTATATTTTACTAATTAGTATTCTATTCTCTTGGCTAATTTATTGGAGGGAGGGATGGGGAGGGAGTATTGCGACCCATTCTCCCCCATTTCCTATGCCATGTTAAGAATTACAATATGTTGGAATTGGATCCGATGGGCTTTAATAATGTTCCTTTATTAGTCGATCTGCTTTTTATATGTTTCGAGTCAGAATTTATTCAATAACTGCTACAGGAGAAGAAGAAAGCTCTTGATTTGAGTTTCAATTCAACATCTCGATACATCGATAACGTTTTATCAATTAACAATAGTAATTTACACTCATACGTCGACTCGATTATTTCAGTAAACTTAAAATGAAAGACACCACAGAGTCTGTCACATCTGTTTCACATTTGAACATTTTATGGACTATATATAGACATAATTCGCACAACTAACTTATAAGACTAATGAGATGACTTCATCTTTCATCGTCAATTTCCCCTATTTTTTGTCGTAAATATAATTTTCATCTGCATGATTATCATATTTTTGTCTTGCAACCGATGCAGTTAACAGAAGAGCATGTTTTCAGTACGATCAATTTTTAAACCTAGGCAAGCTACTGATAAATAGAAACAAGTTGCTGATGAAGGGTTTTCTGCAACCTCCTTTAAATTCTGCATTGCGCAAATTCTATGGTCGTTAGAATGCCATTGGTTGGAAATACAACCTATCGTCGTTTCGTATTTTGACTGACATGTTTCATACTAATTGTTAAGCTTTTGTTTGATACTAGTTTTTACTACTTACTACTCAGTTTAGCGTCTCCATATGAGTGAAAAATTCTCGAGAGGGACGTTAAACAACATACAAACAAACGAACTACTCCGTTTACATGATCAATGCAGAGGGTTCACCGTGGGTGTTAATGGTCGACAGGGGATGTTGCAACCACTATTGAAATAAAGTTCAATATCAAATAGTGGTTGAGAATGCATTTCAAAACAAAAATCTGGTTGCAACAAATATTGAATAATGTTCACTATTTAAATAAATATAAGGATTTATTGTTTATTAAGTTTTATAGACTTAACAAATGTAAATCATATACGTTTCCAATTTTAATGCACCAGATGCGCTTTGTGTTAAATACTATCAATACAGGGTGTTTCATAATATATGTTATGTTATATTTTTAAAATTGAATACCTTCCTTGCCTTCCATATTTCTTTTACAAACAATATATTGTTTTAAACATTGAATACTAATTATGATATAAATAGAGAATAATACAAGGCAAAATCAAATCTGTATCAAACCCAATATCAACCCGACACTCCAATATCAGCCCGATGCACGAAGGCCAGAGTGCTGATATTGGTCGAGGGTTGATATGGGGTGTGATGCAGAATTTGTCATGTATTGTTGTTTTTATTATATATTTGAAAATAGTGTCTTAAAATCAATTATAAACTTGTAAATTAATTACTGAATTTTTAATAATTTCAATGTGTTTTTGTTGAATTTCCGTTTCTCATTTTTTTCTCAAAGGCATTGCATTCAGTGATAAGAAATGAAATAACTGCAAATTTGAAAAAAAAAAAAAAAAAAAAAAAAAAAAAAAAAAAAAAAAAAAAATTTGAACAACGTTAAATATCTCATGAAATAAAATTACAATTTAAATAAACTTCATAAACAAATAGAAAAGGATCCGAGGTACTCCGAAAGAAAAATACAGAGATGTTCCGGAAAGGTATAGAATAGGGTGTGATAAAGGGTTAAATAAAAGGTGCTGATACATGTACAGGGTGTGTAATACAGGGCGCGTGCCTGTGTTAATATCAGGGATGCAAAAAAATTGTATTATATTACAAATATATAATAAATATTGATAATCACCAGTTCAATAGTTTACAAATTTGTAAAATAAAATTGATTAATAGAGGTCTGAAATGCTAAACTTTATGACAAATATAAACTAGATGCTGTCATGAGACAGTAATACCCGCACTAAGGTGTTTGCCTCTAAATGCACACTCCTTCATATTGGGCTTACCAAGGAAAAAGTCCAAATAATTCTATAATTTACACAGTACATGTATTCGTCAAATCGAGCATAAAATGCTCAGGTGACCATGTGACCCATGAAACTCTTATACGCATTTCATATACTTAATTCATTACCAGTCTGAATTAATGATGTAAATTAGGTTTTGATAAAGGGGGGGGGGTATAAATTTTTGGCCCATAATTGGAACTTTTTAAATTTATTTTGTCAACAACAAATAATATTATTTTAGTACAAAGCGTTTTTGATGAATTTATCAAAATGTGCAAACTTTTTTTAGTATTTGATTAGGCAAAAACCTCCTTGAAAAGCCATACCCAATCAATTTTGTCACCACCCCCCCCCCCCCCCCCCCCAACACACACACACAATTTGACTGTTTTTGGAAATAGGCCTAGATGGCAAAGTTATGTTAAAACATCGTTTGTTATGATAATTTAAAATTTGTTCTTGTACTGTACATGTATGTGAACACCTTTTTGAAAAATTTCTACATCACATTGGGCTTGCGTCACCCTACCAGTACTAGTACTAGTTTTACCATTATCATTTTTAGATTGCACATGCCATGTGACATGGTGCAGTGTTACATGTATATCAGTGGAAATTAATTCATTTTGTGTTTTAATTGGATTATATTTCATGAAGTTGACAGGACCTATGACAGTCGGTAAGTACAAGTTTAAGTATAGATTGGGGTAAAATAAACCGAAATGCAAATGGTTAGATAAAAGTTTAAAAATGATCAAAGATCATCGGCAATCTCCTATGCAGAGTTGTCGTTCGTTTCTCTCTCAGACACTGAATGTATGAGCCGATGAGTGGATCATCGAATGCCACAATAGACGAATTTCACATTCTGAAGAGTTATCTCCCGTTGTCGACATTACATTGTTACAGGCACAGATCCGGGATTTTTTTTCCGGGGAGGGGGGGTCCACACCTCGGTCCAAAAAATTTCCTGAGGAGCAAAAAAAAAAAAAACAAAAAAAACAAAACAAAACAAAAAACAAACAAAGAAAATAAAAACAATGATGGTGGGGTCCATATTTTTTAAAGGGGGAGGGCATCCAAAGTCATTTTTTATTTGCTTCTGTAAATCAGTATATAGTCCTATTTAAATAACTCTGCAAATTCCAGGGGGGGGGGGGGGTCAATCTCCCTAGCCGCTCCCTGTCCCTGAAATGACAAATGATCATGTGACTCCTAAATAGTAGAAAACTTTTCCATTTGACTATACATATAATTTTGTTTCTTGTGTTATTATGTTATGTACATCTAATGGTTTAAGGTTATGAACCCCTGGAGGTCATCCCCACTCTCTTAATGAACTGGAAATGTTCATAATATGACTACATCAAATTAAATAAAAGTGCATCAATGATAAGATTACTTGACATTTCATTCACGAATTTGGGTCAACCCATGTACCCTCCTAGAATTAGGAATGAAAATCATTCAAAGAGATGGACCATTAAACTATTTGTATATATTCACATTTTTTTTTTATGTCAAACCAAAGTATTAGACTAGTTTGCATACATGAACAAACAGGGGTCTGGGAAGGGGAAGGGGCAAGGGGAAGGAGTTATCTCTTTATGTCTTAATTGTTGAAAATTCCTAAAATGAATGTTAACCTCAAATCCGACTTGTACGTCTTCATTATTTTTAAGTGGTGGTGTCTCCGTATGAGTGAAAAATTCCCAAGAGGGACATTTAACGACAAACAAACATTAATGACTTAAAAAACACAATATACATGTACATGTTTATTAGTCAACGGATATACTTCTGATCACATCTCTAGTTCTCCCTTGAATCAGAAATGATGATATAAATATTTTAAGAATGATTAAGAGTTGAAAAGGTTGTGCATTTTAAAATTCACTAAGCTCTGTGGTTGAATTAGCTATACCAGTTTAGCTTATTTTGCTACTCAAAGCACCTTGATTAACTATTTTTAATCATACTGTTTTCTGAAATGTGAAGTTTTTTCAACATGGATACAAGCCATACCTTTTCAGCTTCTGAAAACAATGCATGAAAAAAAAATTGCTTTTCAAATACTGTAACTCTTTGCAAGTACTTGTGATCATCAGTTTTTAGCTCACTTGAGTTTTTCTGGTTCTCTGATCACATTTTGTTTGTCATCCATCTGTCCGCCTGTAAACTTTTCACATTTTTTGTCTTCTTCACTAGAACCGCTGGGCAATTTCAACCAACCCTGCCACAAAGCATCTTCGGGTAAAGGGGATTCAAGTTTGTTCAAGTGAAGGGTCACACCCTCTTTCAAGGGGGGATAATCAAGAATAAGTGAAAATTTGGTGGTATCATTTTAAAAAAGTCTTGTCAAGAACCACTGACTGGGCCCAAAAAGTTGAAACTTTCTTTACATAGAATTAGTGTAGCTTCAAATTTGTTAAAATTATGACCCACTGGGGTAGGGTGGGGCCACATATGGGGATCCAGTGATTTACATAGAAAAATGCAGGGGATTTTTTCCATCATAAATCTTCTTCTCATGAACAGCAAGGGCATTATTGTCGTCCGTTTTCACAAAAGGGACCTAGGGGACATTAAATCTCATTTGTCTGTCAGTCTGTCTGTTTGTCAGTCTGTCTGTCTGTCACAATAAATTTAACCTTGGTCATAACTTCTGAATAATAAGAGATAGTGCTTTCATATTTCCAATGTACATTACCTACAAGAACTTTCTAAACATACCATGAATTTTGAACCCATGACCTTGACCTTGAAGTTTGACCTACTTTTCAAAAAATTTAACATTATTTTAAATGATCATTTTGAAAGAGAAAAGATAGGGCGTTCATATTATACATGTATATTACCTGTGACAAGACCTTTCTAAATATATCATGACTTTTGACTCTGTGACATTGACCTTGAAGTTTAACCTACTTTTCAAAAATGTTATATTTCCTTATAACTTTTGATTGAGAAGAGATAGGACTTTTATATTTGACATGTACATTACCTGTAACAAGATGTTTCCAAGCATGCTATGATTTTTTTACCCCTTGACCTTGATGTTTTACCTATTTTTCAAAAATTTTAACTTTGGTGATTACTTTTTGACCTTGACTTTTCCTTTGATCTTGACCTTACTTTTCTTAAATTAGTGTCTAGATCAGTTTTGAATAAACAATTCAAGATATATTTATCAAACTTCATATGCTGATATATACTGCTGAGAGATATCAATTGCATCAACTTTTTTGACCTTGACTTTTCCTTTGACCTTGACCTCACTTTTTAGGTCACCTGAGTCACTCAGGTGACCTATTGCTATCTCTTTTCGTCCGTCGTCGTGCGTCGTCCGTCGTTCGTCGGTCGTAAACTTTTGAACATTTTCAGCTTCTTCTCTGGAACCAGCAAACCAATTTCAACCAATTTTGGCATATAGCATCTATGGGTGAAGGGGAACGAAAATTATGAAATTCGTGGCCCCTGCCCCCCTGGGGCCTGAGGGGTGGGGCCAAAACCATCAAAATTAATACAATCTTTAAAAATCTTCTTCTTTACTCCTGGACATCAAGCAGTCAAACTGTTGGCTTGATTGTAATAAGCATTGAGCCCTCTACCAAAATTGTGAAATTCATGGCCCCAGGGTCAGGGGTTCTGGTGCTAGGGCGGGGCTATATAGATCATATAGTGAAAGTGCATTATTTCTTTGAAAATCTTCTTCTCTACTCCTGGGTATTATTGAAACAAATTGAATACATAGTTATTATAAGCAAGAGTGACTCTACTGAAATTGTGAAATTCATGGCCCCAGGGTCAGGGGTTCTGGTGCTAGGGCGGGGCTATATAGATCATATAGTGAAAGTGCATTATTTCTTTGAAAATCTTCTTCTTTACTCCTGGGTATTATTGAAACAAAATGAATACATAGTTATGATAAGCAAGAGTGACTCTACCGAAATTGTGAATTCATAGCCCCAGGGTCAGGGGTTCTGGTGCTAGGGCGGGGCTATATAGATCATATAATGAAAGTGCATTATTTCTTTGAAAATCTTCTTCTCTACTCCTGGGTATTATTGACACAAATTGAATACATAGTTATGATAAGCAAGGGTGACTCTACCAAAATTGTGAAATTCATGGCCCCAGGGTCAGGGGATCTGGTGCTAGGGCG